CACAGTTTTAAAGCCACACAATTTGGCTCAAATTAAATAGCTATAGGATAATGAAACAAGACGTAGGGGCAAGACTTAACAGAGAAAGGAACTTGACTTTAGTTAGACTGAACAATGAACGCTGTCAGTCTTTTGTTGGGCATCTCTTCCCCATAACTCTTAACTGAACACTTACACCAGCAGCGACAACAAAAGAAAAGTGACCAGAAGTGATTCATCTCAAACGAGTGCTTGGAGGCAAAAAGTGTCAGATACTTGGGAAGCAGAGAGAAGGTCGACAAAATATGTTTGAGATTTTTAGGAGAGGAGAGTGCCCACTATGTTTTGTGTCGAGACCATTGAATTTGTCCACTCCAGACAGTTGGAGACGACTTGTTGACGATTCTGTCTGTTATCAGGCCTGATGATTAAAGCAGTATTGTTGTTAACTGACAGCGAACATCAGACCCTGCAGGGTTTTTATAATATGAGGCACTTGCAAGGTGACATTAAAACCTATGATTAGATTGAAAGAATGTGCACCAACAATGACAAGATGTATAAGCAAAGTATTATGTTTTAAAGCTTACAGACAATGTTGTTTTATGGGCCCCCTAGAATTAATAGACCTGAGCAAAAATCCTAACCAAGCATCCTACACCCTTACACCACCATGTAACAAAACGCAGCATCTGCAGCGAGGCTATCAATTCTTACAAATCATCATATATCTCATAATCAATAACGCACTTTCAGATACAATTTAAAATGGTTTGACTTAAAGCAACATTGTCAAAATTGTTTACCAGCGGAACAAAAGGATATATAAAAAAATATAAAAAACAGAACAATATTTACAGAAAATAAAATGACTCCCAAGTGATGTGTCTGTCTAACTACAAATCAATGCAGTATTTATTGTAGGCAAGGCAAGTTTATTTATATAGCACTTTTCAACACAAGGCAATTCAAAGTGCTTTACAAAAAATGAAAGACATTAAGAAAATGGCATTTAAAATCAGTCATTAAAAAGAAAAGCTAATAAAATAAACATTAAAGAAAAAATACATGGATAAAAGTTACAGTGCAGTCTAAGATATGAATAGTTCAATTAAACATTAAAAGAAAAAGTACATGGATAAAAGTTACAGTGCAGTCTAAGATATGAATAGTTCAATTGTACTAGCAGAGCAGGAATTAAGATATGTTCAGTTACAATCTGTGTTGCTACACTGATGCTATTATTCTTAAAGTTTCATCAATGTTCAAATGTGAACCCAGTGGAGCAGGTTTCCTTGATTAGTGGCAGCAAAGCCTTTGGGTCTCCACAAGCAGCTGCGTGTTGTTGCTTAGCTGCCTGATGGAGCAGCCTCATTAGGCCGCATTTCAAACTTCGTCACTAATAGGGTTGGGAACCGAAACTCGGTTCCAGATGAGAACCGATAAGAAAATGCCGGGTACCGGGTACCCATACAAAATACACAATTTCGGTTCTGCTTAACGGTTCCTAAACGCGGTAGACCCTGTATTCCAGCGGGTCCGTCTGCACCGCGGTGCTGCGGTGACCCGGTGGAATACAGGGCGGACCTGGAGAATCACAGAACGGCCGGTCGTCAGCGGGCCGTTGACGGCCGGCTCGGTACGCTGACGGCCGGCACCGCCCTTCATTTTTTTTAACGGCATCATATAAATTGCGCTGACAGGCGACAGAGGTCCACAGTTGCCCCGCAGCGATGCTCCCCCGCCCTCCCGTAGACATTTCACGAGCTCAGTCACTTCATAACACCAAAGATAGGTCGCGGTAAACACTCTGAAGTGAGGCTCCACTACACTAAAAAAGAAAAAGAAAAGGCAAAGTGTAATGCCTGTTAATAGCTTGCCACAGGCATAGCTCAGTTAAAATAAAGCACAGCTATTGTGCAATACATTTGTATTGCATGTATATTTTTTAGTAACTATTTCAGTTAAAGCTTTTAAGAATACATATATTTTTGTTATCTAAACGTTTGACCTCTTTATTTTACAATTTTGGAATCGAAACGGGGAATCGATAAGAACCGGAATCGATAAGCAGAACCGGAATCGAAATCGGAATCGATAAATTTCAAACGATACCCATCCCTAGTCACTAATGACATTTCACCAGTCAGAATAAGGCGTACTGTGTCACACAGTGATTTATGGTCACTGTTCTTCACTGTACCCTTGAGTGCGTTTGTGCACTAAAAACATCGTTTTTTGATGACTACATCAAATAAGCAGACAGTGCTTGGTGACTTTCTATTAGCCGGTTTGAGGCTCAGTGGGATTTTCAGAGCAAAAGTATTTGTGCAAGGAGGTGAAGAAGGAGGGAGACCTGGTGTGCAGCTAGAACTAATGACTTATTATTAGCTCACATTTCCATTTCTGGTCAGTTTTTTTCCACATATAAAAAAAGGGTCCCTACAGGACAGAGGGGCTAAAGAACTGTTTTGTGTTCTTGATAACTATGGACTGACTCAACATGTGACGGAGCCCACACACAATAAGGGGCACACTGGACTTAATTATCTCAAAGTGTCTGAATATCTCTAAGGTTGTGGTGACTGATGTTGCGCTCTCTGATCATTCCTGTGTTTTCTTTGAGAGCTCTATTTCTGTTCACAATTTTTTTCAAAAAGAGATAACCACAAAGCGATATTTAACTGAAAATACTAGGGAAATGTTTACTCAGCATTTTTCTTCCACACTTGCCCCTGCTAACTTCTCAGTAAATGAGCTAGTAGATCATTTTAATTCAAAAATGAAAAATGTTATAGATGCCATTGCTCCAACTAAGGTAAAGGAAGTGTCTGGCAAGAAAATATCTCCATGGAGAAAGGCCATGACCGTGAAAACAGAAAAAAGATAGTGTTGAAAAGCTGAACGCAGGTGGTGAAAAACAAATCTCCAGGTTCACTTTGAAATCTATAAAGAGAGACTTGACATTTATAATTTGGAAAAACAACGCACGTGCCTTGTTTGCTACCGTTGACGGACAAACAAACCCCCCAGTGTCAATTGCCTCTGAATTTCTATGCCTGCAATGAATTTGCCTCCTTCTTCACTGACAACATTCAGAAAATTAGACAAGCAGTAATATCTCTGCATCAGGTACAGCAAATGTTTTGTCCCTGTGTCCACTTAAAATTAATTCAAACACCATGACACAATTCCATCAGATTAATGATAAAAACCTAGAGGACATTATTCAACTTCTGAAATCCTCCTCCTGCTGCCTTGATATTATACCAACAGGATTTTTCAAAAATGTTTTTCATTGCATGGCCTCAGATCTACTTCATATAGTAAACAAGTCTCTTCACTCAGCTGTTTTTCCACAGGCCCTGAAAACTGAAGTCATCAAACCGCTCTTAAAAAAGAATAATCTAGATGCTTCAGTAATGAACAATTACAGGCCCTTATCAAACCTCCCATTTCTAGGTAAAATCATTGAAAAAGTTGTTTTTCAACAGTTTCAATAACTGTTTTGATGTGTTCCAGTCAGGCTTTCTTCCAAACCACAGCACTGAGACTGCTCTTGTAAAGATCTTCAATAACATCCACTTAAACATAGACAGTGGCAGAACTTCAGTGTTAGTATTATTAGATCTCAGTGCTGCGTTTGACACTGTTGACCACAACATATTACTAGACCGACTAGAAAACTGGGTGGGACTTTCGGAAACAGTTCTAAATTGGTTTGAATCCTACTTAAAGGACAGAAACAACTTTGTTTCTATAGGTAAATACACATCTGAGTTGACAAATATGACATGTGGGGTTCCTCAAGGCTCCATCTTGGGGCCTCTTCTCTTTAACATCTACATGCTACCACTGGCTCAGATAATGAAAAACAACAAAATAAGTTACCATAGTTTATAAAGCATTGAAAGGTTTAGGCCCAAAATACATTTCTGATCTACTGCTAAATTATGAACCATCCAAAACTCTCAGGTCTTCAGGGACTGGTCAGCTTTCTGTCCCCAGAGTCAGAACTAAACATGGAAAAGCAGCGTTCAGTTATCATGCTCCAAATATCTGGAACAAACTCCCAGAAACCTGCAGGTCCGCTGCAACTCTTACTACTTTTAAATCCAGGCTGAAGACTTTTGTTTTTGCCACTGCTTTTAATTGATATATTCATATCTTAAACTGCACTGTAACTTTTATCTTTGCTTTTTAATGCCATTTTCTTAATGTCTTTCATTTTTGTAAAACACTTTGAAGGTAGGTAGTTAAAGTCATTATTGGGGTTAAACTCCCCTCATAGGTGGTTAAAGTCCCCTATGTGTGCCGTTTTGGTTTCAAGACCCTGGTTCCTGGAGGACACCAAAAAAGTCCTAGAAAACACAACTTAAACTTAACCAATGTGCATTTAAAAAAAAAGAGGAATAGTTTTGGCGAAAACTAAAAAGGTACCATGGGGTACAGGAATCCGTTTTGATTTCAAGACCCTGGTTCACGGAGGATACCAAAAAAGTCCTAGAAAGACAAGGTAAACTTAACTATGTGCATTTAAAAATAAAACAGAGGAATAGTTTCGGCGAAAACTAAAATGTACCATGGGGCCAGATTATAATTTTCCAAAGGGGGGTTCGTTTAGCATGAAACACTTGAAATAACTAAAGGACAAGTTAAACGAGAAAGTAGAAAGAAAGGGAGGTGATAGAAAACTATTTCTGCTAAAAAGTTAGCAATGATTGAGAGTCAGACCTAAACATTTCAGATGTGTGTATCTCACACTGCACTGTAACTTGTATTCATGTATCTTTGCTTTTAAAAGAGTGTTTTTAAATGTCATTTTATATCAATGCTTTTAAATTAGTGTTTTCATTTTATAATATGTTTTGTTAATGCTCTTAATATCTTTCATTTTTGAAAAGCACTTTGAATTGCCTTGTGTTGAAATGTGCTATATAAATAAACTTGCCTTGCCTTACCTTACATTGAGTGTTTTATAGTCGAAAACAGTCATAACACAGTGCTGTTGTGTCTCTTACCTTTGGATACTGTTGGATTGGAATGAGAACTCTTTCAGAGAGCTTGATATTTTTATTGCTGATGATATCTAGGTATTTGTTAGTGCTGCCATCTTTTCTCGATTCATCACCTTCATACTTTTCAATCTCTGCAGGAAAACAAAATAGAAGAAACAGATGAAAAGATCATTAGTTTATGTCTTTGAAAACAACATTAGTCAATATCTTCTGCATTACTTTGGAGCCAACAGCGGCATGAAAAACAGGCTGGAGTCACATTGGGAGAAACGTTACTCTGCATTACGGTTAAATATCTTTCTGATTATTTTGTATCTCAGCTGTAAATATGCTCACATTGCAAACTTATAATTATATTAGATTATCCCACTGACTCCTGGTACCTCCTTTTACATCGGGCTCTGTAATCTCATGATCCAGTAATTCCAATCAAAATAACAACAGAGGCAAACAGTCACACTCGCCGCGTTCTTCAGGGCTTTTGGCAGTCTCTGATTCCTGGGACTTGCACGAATGGTGTATTAAACTTATCAGATGAAAGTCCATTGGGCTGGTAAAGACTGGATCTGTGAACTCTCCTAGATCATATTTGCAGATCATTGGTTCCAATCAAACTGCAGGATAGGCAAATCTTGTGCAAATTAGCCCAATAGTTTCCCCAGCCCTTAATGTAATAAGATGAGAAATGAGTAGTGTATATTAAATGTCAGGGTGAGTTTGACAGGAACGCCCTGTGCAGAGCTATTTTCTTGATTGATGCATATTAAAGCACTTGAGCTGAACCACTCTCAATACATGAAGTGCTCCAGAAATGAAGCTATCTCTTGTCCACCTAGCAGGATGCTCCTTGTAGTTTATAATAACCGTTGGAATTACAATTATCAGCCTGCAACACACGGGCTACACAATTAAGGACGTTCCTGAATGAGACCAAGAACGAGTCAGCAACAGCTACTTGGTTTCATTATTAAAAAACTCAAGAGTTCATTTAGTCTGGAGCACTTCACCGTTATCTGAGCTGTCAACAGCCAGTGGATAGAGCTGAGGTCAAAAACAGCTGCAGCCAATTGGATGTTTCATTACGGACAAATGAATGTAATGTATTATCACCGAACAACATTCGGATTGACGCATTCCTCAGTTTTTCTGTTCACCAAGGAAGGAAATTGCTCACAGAAAGGAATATGTTCTCATGAGGGGGCTGAATCCACCATAAGATTCATGTTTCCCTTCCCAGGATTTGACTAGTAGGCTAAAAGTAATGCCATGTTGAAACAGTGTTCTGGTTTATGTTCCCAGCGAGACTTTTCCTTGACGTGACCTTCTGGACGTCCATTACTCCAGCTTAATGATCCCTCTGTTCAGTTCCAACATTCACCCACTAGCAGTTCCTAATGGCCAGTGGTATCATTTTTACACCCAGGGTTCATTTGTTTGATATTGCTATTGTCTGGGAAATCACCAAGACAAAACTCCAACAGCTTGAAATGGCCCGATTTCTTCCAGCGTGACACAATCTCTCTGATTGTGCCTGATTGTCCGAGGAAGATCGTTTAAATTGGAACATGCCATCTCCAGTTTTTTTGCAGTTTTTTTTTGTGGGATGACTCTAACGCTACAAGACTTCCTGGAAAAATTGAGCTGACCCAACTGGGCGGGTGCTAATAAATGAATGTTTAAAATTGTTGGTAATCAATTATGCAGAAATCGATACCAGATGGAGAAGCCTTAAACTACTAATATTAAGCGAAGAAAGAATTGTGTTAATCACTTTTGAAGAATTATTCCAGTCTAGACTATAATGTTTTCAATGCACTCAGTCTTATTTGAAAAATCTACACTATAGAGTGTATTTTCACATCCCACGATGAGGCTCTAATGGAAAGGACTGTATCGGTAAACTCAGTGAACTCTGTGAACAGGTAATGCTTACTCACAACACCATCGCCTGCCTCTGGGTACAGACTGTGCCTGAAAACCTTTGCTGAATCACAGGTAAACAGATTGAAAGACCCCTCCAACCTTTTATTCCCTTCAACATGTGGCTGATTCACACCTCCTTTTGTGACACTTTACACCAGACAGGTGTCCCAGGAAAAAAAACATGTCTTTTAAAAATAGCATTTATGCGTTCTTGCCTGAGGAGAGAAATCAAACACAACCTTTACAAACAGAAACACATTTTGAGATAGCTCTGCTTTATAGACAGTAGACAGACAGGGTACTGATGAATACAGTATGTTTGTATACAGGAGGAGAATGTGGATTCAGTTCTGTTGGTGTTTGGGTTCTGGGAATGTCAAAGATTGTCAGTGGGTCCACCACACAAACTAAAAAATATCAACAACTACTGGATGAATTGCAATGCATTGTGGTACATTCCTGGTCCCCAATGGATGAATCACAATAAAATGTTTGATTTTTTAGAGCTTCACAATTAATAGAACTTCCATTGAAATCACAATATGGGCTAGTTTATAGTTTATTAGGATCCCCATTAGCTGGTGCATAACAACAGCTAATCTTCCTGGGGTCCACAAATAACATAAAACATGACATTCGACAGTACATTACAAGACAATGATACAAATCGTGTACAGCGTCAATTTTCCTTCAAACAGTGACTTTCAAAGCGCAGCGCTTTGTCACCAATCCTGTTTGTAATATACATAGATCGGATTTCGCGGCGTAGTCATGGGGGAGGGGGTCTGCAGTTTGGTGGACTAAGGATTGCACCACTGCTTTTTGCAGATGATGTGGTTCTAATGGCTTCATCGGTCTGCGACCTTCAGCACTCACTGGATCGGTTCGCAACCGAGTGTGAAGCGGCTGGGATGAGGATCAGCACCTCCAAATCTGAGGCCATGGTTCTCAGCAGGAAACCGATGGACTGTCCACTCCAAGTAGGGAATGAGTCCTTACCCCAAGTGAAGGAGTTCAAGTATCTCGGGGTCTTGTTCTCGAGTGAGGGAACAATGGAGCGTGAGATGGGCCGGAGAATCGGAGCAGCGGGAGCGGTACTGCAGTTGCTTTACCGCACCGTTGTGACGAAAAGGGAGCTGAGCCAGAAGGCAAAGCTCTGTCTACCGGGCCATTTTCGTTCCTACCCTCACCTATGGTCCTGAAGGATGGGTCATGACCGAAAGAACGAGATCGCGAATACAAGCGGCCGAGATGGGTTTTCTCCGCAGGGTGGCTGGTGTCTCCCTTAGGGATAAGGTGAGAAGTTCGGTCATCCGGGAGGGACTCGGAGTTGAGCCGCTCCTCCTTCGCGTCGAAAGGAGCCAGTTGAGGTGGTTCGGGCACCTAGTTAGGATGCCACCTGGGCGCCTACCTAGGGAGGTGTTCCAAGCACGTCCAGCTGGGAAGAGACCAAGGGGTAGACCTAGGACCAGGTGGAGGGATTATATCTCTTCGCTGGCCTGGGAGCACCTTGGGATCCCCCAGTCAGAGCTGGTTGATGTGGCCAGGGAAAAGAAAGTTTGGGGCTCACGGATAAGCGGGAGAAGATGGATGGATGGATGGACAGTGACTTTCATATCAACCATCACATACAGCTTATTTTCTGATTCCCCATTTCCTTGGAAAGAAAAAGAAAAAAAAAAAGAATAATAATAATAGTGATTTTACAAATGTAAAGGGCAATTCGATTTCTTTCAATGATAATGAAAATAATGATTTGAAAAGGATCAATCCCTCCAATATCGTGAATCATATCACAATTGGAGTTTCAGTCGCAATTCGTTTTTATATCCAAATCAGGCAGCCCTAATAGGTGCTCCTTTTTGTTCTCTAGTGGCATCATCAGGGTAACATAATGAGGTTGATTAAATACCTACAAAACTATTTTTTCCCATGTCAATGTGGCTGACATTAGCATTAAGCTAAACGCCCTGCTGTGTTTAAAAGCCGTCTCAAAAGAGCTGTTAGCATGTTCTCTCAACAATAATCAACGCACCATCAGCTAACACCCTAAAAACAGCATATTTTAAGAACAAATCCTTCCGGCAATAAGAATTATCAGCAAAAGTGGATAACATTGTTATATAGTCACAACGTCCACATACAAAATAGCTTTGATTCGATGGACGGGTCAACAAAATATTGGGCATCAGGAAGATAATTTATTTGTTTTTACTTAAATTCAGAATACTTGTTGATTGTTAAAGTTGTGGTAGTTTGAATACTAGTATTTGCATATATGTTGGTTAGTCATCCCATCGTATAAAGCTCATTTGCATTTGAACAGTTTTTTGTCCCAGTTTCAGGTTTGATCAAGCATTCATCTCTTGATATCCTCTAACAGTAGTTTTGGTCGCTTGGGTCAGAATTTGTTTTTGGCTATGTTTCTATTATGGCGAGTTTCACTGTCAAATGGACATGGTGTTTATATCTTATGAATACAGTAATAGTGTATTTCTAGCCAATGAACATGATTATACTCTGGAACAGCACAACATGGGAAACACCTTTATTCTGGTCTGCAGCCTGCCAGTGAACTCTGAAGAAGATTATGTTTGTGAGAGAAAAAGAGGGAGAGAATGAGGTAAATCCTTTCCCTCCACAAAAAGAGTAAAATTAGCTTAGGGCTGTCAAGTTAACGCGTTAATAACGCGTTAACGCAAAAAAAAATTAACGCCACTAATTATTTTAACGCATGTGTATTTTTTTTCCTCGGCCGCCCCGTAGTTTCAGAGCGCATCGAGTTTAAAATACCATCTACAAGCTGATGCTGACAGCCCCGCTCCTGCCGCCCGCTTGTGGCAGACCACACTTCCACGCTCACCGACAGGCACCGACTGGCCATCTGGAGGACCGGGAGGGTGTGTGTATGTGTGGCTCGAGCGAGCGAGAGAGAGACCTTACGTGCATTGTTGTTGTTAGCATCTGGTGCTAGATATAAGGAGCTGCTTAAATGAAAACAGAGGAGCGACATTTCGCCGACAACTGCGCCGAGCACTTGACTTTATGCAGGCAGCCAGACAGCGGGACATTGTACGAGAAGTCAGCACACTCAGCACGGATAGTGCAACATGATTGCAGCGTCCAGGCAGCTCCCGTTCGAGCTCCAATGATCCATCTCTCACACACACACACACACACACACACACACACACACACACACACACAC